AGTAAAGAACTAAGATTTCAGTATGAAAGGAGTGAGGTACCTCATGGCTAGAAAGATTAAGATAGGGTTACATACAATGATGAGTAAATTCTTTAGTACAATTCCTTTCACAGAGTGGAAACTCAAAAATGATAACACATTTTCCTCACATTTTTTGTACAGTTTTGTTGCTATGGATGATTAAGAAATTCCTCTGGTTTTAATTTAATGATGAAAAAGTCAAAAGAATAAAGCTAGCTGTTCTTTGGCTATAGGACATTATTTAGTTCTGTGGTGCCCTCTTCTACAGTGTAAACGGCATTCAATTAAGTTCATTCAATACATAAAATGCTTATTACATAAGATTTATTAACTCCCATAGCATAGAATTAAAAGCACTATTTATTATTTAGTAAGGCTCTTTCCAAAGGAAAAGTTTATTATATAGATCAATTTATATAAAATTATGAACCTCAATTTCAGTTTTAAAACCTACAGATTCAAAAACTGCATATTCAACAGATTTCTATTGTATGTACTATACAACTTATACAAGTTAAAAATTGCTTCAAAGTACTAGTGCAATAAGATTATATTACTTTTTAAAAGAATACTAATATATAATTATTGAAGTAAAGTATCAACTTTATGAAAATAAAAATATTATAAATTAGTTTATATCAGATATTATCAGATATATATCAGACAATATTATAAGTTAGTTATACCAGATTCTGTGGCTGAATTATAAAACCTTATTGTTGGATCTCATTGTTTAGCTCAAGAATCTGAAAAAAATATTAAAGACGATGTGAAACAATCACTTAGCAAAATACACCCCCTTACCACTGGGGATCAAACTCAGGACTTTGCGCTTGTGAGGTAAGGTGCCACTGACCTAAATCCCCTGCCCAAAATATCTTTTTTTTTTTTGGTACTGTGGATCGAACTTGGGACCTTGCGCTTTTGAGGCAGGCAGCAGAACCACTGAGCTAAATAAATCCTCGACCCCCCCAAATACCATATTTTGATATAGGCGAATATATATAATGTCATATCCCAAAATACAGACAAACGAACAGTCTAGGATAGAACAAAATAATGTGACTTCTTAAAATGAAGAATCGGTATTTCTGACTTCTATGAAAAACTTCAAAGTATTAGTATAAATAAGTTATTTAAATTAATACATAAAAAGTAAATAAATTATGAAGTCTAAAGATAATCCTAAACATACAAGTAATAAAAATAATACTTGACTGAATGGCACTGAATTTTTTGTTTTGTTTTTCGGTGAATGGTTTGTGAATTATATCTCAGTAAAGTTATTTTTTTTGGTTCTGAGGATCAAACTCGAACTCGGGTCCTTGCGCTTGTGAGGCAGGCAGCAGAACCACTGAGCTAAATCCCCGGTCCTCAATAAAATTATTTTTAAAAATACCTTTTCTTTTTTTTTGGTACCGGGGATAAAACTCAGGACCTTGCGCATGCGCGGCAGGCGCTGGAACCACTGAGCTAAATCCCCGGCCCCAAAAATACCTTTTCAAAATCCCAAATTCTGATACTAGTTCCTTTACATAATACCTACATTTTATTTATTTATTATTTTTGTTACCAGAGATCGAACTCGGGACCTTGGGCTTGCGAGGCACCACTGAGCTAAATCCCCGGCCCTATATTTTAGTGCTTTATAAATTTAATGTTACTATAAGATTCTACAAAAAAAAAAAAAAAAACATTTTATGACTTGCATTTCTCTTAGTCAATTCCTTATTTGGCCAAAAAATATCATCGACTCATTTAGATAACTTTTTAAAGAAAAATGGCCTCTGTCTTAACTACTGCAAACCTATAAAACTAGTTCAAAAAGTTATTTCTAAATCTTTCTTCACTGACATATTGAATCTTAAACTCTCTAGCTTCTCACAGGACAAAAACAGAATTCTTAAAAACGGGAAGGTAAACAAATTTCACCTGGTAACACTCAACTCTACCATTTAGGTTCTAATATGGCCTGGAAGAAAGCAGAGGAATCAGGCCAGGGATTTAGCTCAGTGGTTCTGCCTCCTACCTCAAAAGCACAAGGTCCGGAGTTTGATCCCCGATACCAAAAAAAAAAAAAAAAAAAAGAAAGTAGAGGAATTACGTATTAGCTCCTTTCTCCCAATCCTAGGCCTGGGACTCACAGAACAGTTTTGTGTTTGGTTGACTGGAGGTACTGTGGATTAAACCTAGGACCTTTGCACTAGGCTTTTTAAAAAATTTTTCAGATAGGGTCTCACTAAGTCACTATTTGTCCTAGCTGGGCTAAAACTTGCAATCCTCCTACCTCAGCCTCCTAGAGTGCTGGGATTACAGATGTGTGCTGCCAAGCACAGCTAAAGATGTTGATGGAAGTCTGTAAAGGCATAGATGGTATAGAGGCAAAGAGAAGGGGCTGAGATAAAACACTTTCACCCGATATTCTGGATTGTGGATTAGCAACATCATATTTATTTATGCTCTCAGTTTTATATGAGGAGCAAAAAAATCTACATTGGTGAATCTGAGAAACACACTTTAAAACAATGAAATAACAATGTCCACAACTACCCATATGACCACCATCTAAACTTTAAAATTTAAATTGATTTAAAACTTGTGAAACACGAACCTTTATGGCAGAACTAGAAGTCTGTTCCCACCAGTCCCTCATACCTGATAGCAGCCAATCCAGCTCCTTCAAAACTCTGAAGAATTAACTACATCAAGAGTGATCATTTTTATGCATTTCACATTTAAATAAGCAATGCTACAGTTTTTTTTAAACTCACAGAAGTTTAAATTAATGTTCATTTCCATAGGTATCTAGTCTTTTGGCCAAAAAAACACTGAGTAACTTGGCAATATACTGTAAATCTCTTGATAGCCATATCACCATGGATATTAACATGTAAAATAAAAATGTGACTTTAATAATATATACTGATTTCCCTATAGTAATTATCTGTAATTTAAACTTTCTAATCTATATGTTGTAAATTTTTTTTTGGTACCGGGGATTGAACTTGGGTCCTTGAGCTTGCCAGGCAGGCGGCAGAACCACTGAGCTAAATCTCCGGCCCAAACTGTCTAATCTATAAAGGTATATAATAAAGGAATCTTTCTACCAATAAGACATTAGAATAATAGGATAAACTGTAATAGTTACTAAAAGTAAATAATAAAAAAGTAGATTACAAATGAGTTGATTTAGATCACACAACCTATGAGAATATAAGAAAACTTTCAAGGTTGAGTACTTATTCTTTTCACCATGCTTATAAAGTCAATAATTTAAAGATAATAAGAATTTATTGTTTCAGAGTATTTTCCTTGGTCAAAACTTTTTCATGATTTTTAAACTCAATGCTATCTGATTTACGTATCTGGAGATGATTTCAACTATATGAGAGGGCTAACATTTTGTTAGTGACCCAAAATCAGTAAATTTTAATACTTATATATCAGAATTTCTGAAATTGGGTTTGCAATTATTTACAACGGAGAATTGTTCTTTTTCCAAACCTGTCTAATGCTTTTTTGAGCTTTTAAAAGGAACTGGATCTACTGAAAATAGATGTTAAAAAGCACAGAAGAAACAGACTTTTAGTTCTATACAGATTCAACATGTCTTTAGAAAACAATCTCAAATGATACAAAAGAAGTCAGTCAATTTCTACATGTGGATTTAAAGTGAAATATTTCATGGAAATATTTTATTTCATATTTTATTATTTCATACAATTTTTTTAAACATTTAAAACTTTAAATTACAGAAAAATATTTAGCCTCATTTTAGAACAAAGAGGATATGAAGTGAACCAGATCAACTTATCAATTTGATCACAAAAAAGTTCACTAACTCACAATTAAATCCACAATAACTGTTAGAAAATGTCTGGCAACGCATGAACAGTAAAGCAAGACAAATAAGTTCCTTTGCTATATTTAAAGTTTCTTGCCCTCAACCAGGAAGGACTTATACTGGATTATAGAGTTTAGGCAAGATTGGTATACAGGTTAATGGTACATTAATGCATATGAGAAAAATACCTTAAGTTATAGTAGCAATAGCTTCATTAAATCCAACTTTCCAGTTCACTGTTCTCTTTTTGAAACTGAAAGAATTTACTGTAAACAATGCTCTGATGGACGTTAAGTACCATTGTAAAAGAAGAGAGGTATCATATTAGGCAAGAAACCTCTCATCATGAAGACAGATAAAACTTCAGAATGTGTAATTTTCCCTTTTTCTAAAGCAAACACCTTTAGCAACCTATATGCCCAACTGGAAAAAAAAAATTACAGTTGGGGAAGCTAATATTATTGACAGCATCCATTCTAATTCATTACTAAGACTTTTTCTGTTAATTTATCTGTCAATCTTTTGTTCAATTTCAAAAAAAAAACATCTGAACCAATCTTATATAGTTACAAAGTGTATGATTTGAGGGCTGAGTAAAAATAAATGATAAATTTCAAACATTCTTTTTTATACTTTTTTCATTGATAAAAATATCTATATAAAGTATTCAAATCTTCCATTATTTTCAATTAATTTAAAATAAATATGTTGCAAATATTTTTAAATACAGGAAAAAGATTATAGCAACATGCTACAAACAGTTTGAGTCCTTTTTTCAGATCACACAAAATATTTCCCTTTCAGCAATCTTTGTTAAATAGAAACTCAAATATAATTTTCTACTCATATTTAACCTTTGTGCGCAGTCAATAAAAGTTTTTTAAACATTTCCCTATTTGATGACAAAGTCCATTTTAGAAGACAGCACTTACAGAGATGCCAATGTGAAATTTTAAGATAATAATTATATCAAGAAAATTATATTTAAAAATTGTAATGTTAAAGATAAATATTTTAAAACTTACTAAACAAACCCTCAAATCACACTCTTTTTGATATGAACTCTGCCAGCACTGTTCATGTTGGCCAGATAATACTACAGGTTTTCTTTAATAAAGTAAAATGAAATGCATACCAGCAGCAACTACAGCTGGAGGAGGCGAGCCTGCCTCACCACCACTTGTCTGACTCATTGATGCTACAGATGTTTCTCTAGATGGAGGTAACTGTAACTCCTTTGGGAGAAGATCATAGACAGATTCTGTAGGGGAGAAGTAAGAGAAAAAAAAATTTTAAGTCAGTCAACATCCTAATTATATGTACATGAAATGTCTTTTCTCTCATAAAAAGTATATTCACAAAAATCAATCCCATACATGAATGTTGTAAAAAGTGGTTAGTAATTTCTTTCTTTTAGATATGTTTTATTAAAAACTGTAGAATAAGGGCCAGGGATTTAGCTCAGTGGTGCTGCCACCTGCCTCGCAAGCACAAGGTCCTGAGTTCAATCCCTGGTACCAAAAAATAAATAAAATAAGATATAAAAACTGAAGAATAAATTTTCCATCAATTCTGCTCCCTGGGGTTTTATTTTTTTGGCTTTATTCCTTATGTTCAAGATAGTCTCTAGAAAAAGTTACTTCTTTTCTTTTCTTTGTGCCATTGGAAATTGAATCTAGGGACTTCACACTGGGCCACATCCCCAGTTCTTTTTTTTTTATTTTGAGACAAGGTCTTGCTAAGATACATGAGTTGAGTTATGCTCTCACTTGCAATCCTCTTGCCTCAACCTTCCAGAGTGCTGAGATTACAGGCTTGGACCACCACATCTGGCAAAAAAAAAAGCCATTAAATTTTAAAACTGGGTAAAACCAGACAGAAGAAATCTCTTTTTTGGGGGGAGGGGTACCAAGGATGGAACTCAGGACCTTCCACTTGCAAGGCAGATGGTGGAACCACTGAGCTAAATCCCTGGCCCTAGACAGAAGAAATCTCAAAAAACCCCCAAGATAATCCAGTATCTTCCTTTGTAATGGTACTTGCCATCCTTTACATATGAACTAGCACATGCTGGTATATATCAGCTTTAAACTGGTTTCTCTTGTTAGTACATTAATCTAGTCTTGCTCTTTATTCAATACTCTTTAATGAAGATATTTTATCACTGTCATAATTCATTTTCCCTCCTAAAGAAGCTAAAGGGAATGTCATAGCTCAAGAAACTACTTCTCTTACTTTGAGTCACCTGGAAAGGCAAAAGTATTGGATACTTTTAAATTACTTTTATGTCCCAGATTAAAGAATCCCATATCTGGGCCGGGGATTTAGCTCAGTGGTTCCGCCGGCTGCCTCGCAAGCGCAAGGACCTGAGTTCAATCCCTGGCACCAAAAAAAAAAAAAACCATATCTTTATAAACTGTTTTATAATTATTTTTAATTGTTCATAAAATTAGATATCTACTATAAACTTCTTTTGTGAATATCATTCTTGTTTTGTGGATGTAAATAATTTTCAAATAGTCTCTAAAGGTAGCAGAATCAGTGTTGCAAGTTACTTCATAAGACCAATTAGAAGCATATGCCTATTTTCAAAAAAACTGATGCACAAAGTTTTTAAGATTTGCCTACTATTCCAAGAAACCAAAAACTCCAACAACTAAAGCTTATTATCTTCATGAGTGACTGAAAAACAAAAGCAGCACTGTAAGACATTTTATCCTTGGTAACAATTTCTGAATTGATAAATACCTTGATCTTTCAGTTAATCCTAACTTTGATGTAGATAGGGATAAGGAAAATAAAAGAAAAGCTAAAATTAGAAGCTGTACTTTTAAATGATCTTCATTCACAGTAAAGAATAAATTAAAAAGTTTCTTTTCAAAACCCTGTTACCTAGGCCGGGGATATGGCTCAGTGACAGAATGCTTGCCTAGCATGCACAAGGTACTACAAATAAATAACTCTATTACCTAACACTTAAAATCTTCATCTTGAAAGCACTTGGCAAATCTGATATCTATCTCAATACAATATACCTGGCTGAAAATTTTCAACTTGTTAAAATGTTGCTAAACATTTCAGGAAATTACTTCTATCTCTCAAATAATACAGGAGGAGAAACAGAATCTAATTAAATAGCATTATCACCAAGTACTCTCTTTAATACAATTAACCTTTCTCAATCCATTCTGAAACTAAGAGTTCCTTTGTTACAAAGAGAAACACTCAAGTCTACTTTTTTTTGGTCCAAACAAAAAGGAAATTTGAAAAAGAACAATATGACTTCTAACCAACAGCAAGAACTCAAAAATGTATAGGTTCAATATGCAGGGAAATGGTTACTATACCAACTTGAACAAAGATTTTGAATTTTGCAAATGACAGAGGCTTAGAAGGGGTGGATATAGAGCAATACATGGGGGGGGGGTCTAACATGGGTTTGGGGGGATCTGAGGGAAATAGTTAGGGGGTTACTGGGAATTGAACTCAAAACCTTCAAAATGAGCTATCCCAAGCTTGCTCTTTCCTTTTCTTTTTCTCTCTCTCATTTCTTCAAGGTGTCCCCAAACTTACTATGTAGCCCAGGCTTGCCTCAAACTTTCGGCAATTCTCCTGCTTCAGCCTCCAAAGTGCTGGGATTACAGGTGTGAACCACCACACCCCACGCCTTTCATTTTTTTATTTTGAGACAGGGTCTCACTAAATTGCTAAATTGCCTAGGCTGGGCTGGAACTTGTGATCCTCTTGCCTCACCCACCTAGAGTGCTAGGGTTAGCTAAGATATATTGCCATAATTTAGTATAGATCACAAAAGACTGGAATATATACCCAAAGGAATAAGGTGAAATTTAATTTGGATTAATACATAAATTAATAACCCCCCCCATACTGGGGATCAAACTCAGAACCTTGCGCTTGCCAGGCAGGCGCAGTGCCAACTGAGCTACATCCCCGGGCCCAGAATTAATAATCTTAATATACTATTAATATGTAAAAAAGTATACAGCACTTACATGCACTCACTCTTTTCCTTAAATCTATGTTATTTTTGTTTGTTTTCTACAGAACTATTTCCTCAGTCTGCTAACAGAGGTGACTATTTCCTATTAATGTTGTTAATACTTTGTAAAATAATGTTTAAGCAACTCACCTATGGTTCATTATGAATTTTACTTGACCAAAATCCCAAAATAAGTGTACTGCTTAAATATTCATGGAAACTAATTGATTCATTTATGTCACCAATTATTTCTAGGTTAACTCAGTCCTTTTTTCTTCAACATTGGCTATGAAGGAGTACAGGAATTCCACTACAGTGCACCAAGTCAAACTAGACAAGAAATGGTGTCCTGGGGACATAGGACAGTGAGAAAGAAAAAATTGGTAACTTAATAGTGCTGCTGATCACCAAAATCCCATTCTCTACTGCTTCATTCTGTTATTGATTGTTTCAGGAAGAGATGAAAAGACCTCAAAACCTTACACGTCCTCTCATTTTCTCCAGAAGAGTCCAGGGAGACAAATCAAAGGAAACAGCTAGAAAAGACAGATGTTTTGCTTGCTTTTCTTACTCAGCAAACATTAGTTAACACAACTACACCCACCACATATTGAGCATTTAAGGGGCCTGGCACTGTGAAAAATCTCATTATATATATTTTCTCGTCTAATCTCAAAACAATCTTATGGAGGTAGATTTTACCGATAAAGAAGGTGAGAATTATGTTACTTTAAAAAATGAAAAGCCTATGTCATACAACAAAAGAAGGGAATGATAAATTTAAATATTAGGATAGTGGTTTCCTTGCTAAGAAACCAGAAGGACAAGGGAAGAGCAGAAATAAGTTGGGACCAACAGCGGATTCATGGGTATTCTTTTTCATTAAAATATATAATCAAATGGAGGGGATGAGAGGAGGGCAGGGGAAGTGGAAAAAAAAAAAAGAACCAAGATACTCATGTAATGGTACAAGATCCCAATGATGTATGTAACTGTATTTTATACCTAAAATGTACCAGTAAACTTAATGGGGGGAAAATATTTTTTAAAAATAAAAAATATATATATAATCAAATCAAGCAAATAAATTCAAAAGTAGAGGATGAAGCTCAGTGTGAAGGCTTTGGGTTCAGGGTGGGTCAGGGGGGACAGCAAACAAAACATTTAATAGTTACCCAAACAATGAATGTTCCCTGGCATCAGATGCAGACAATACTGAAAAATCCATTTGTAAATAATTTTATCTTGTTTTAATTATGAAGAGTTTACCTTGTTTTTTTCTTTTGAAGTCTAAACACAAGGCTACCATAATGCAGCTGAAAGATTTTTCAAACTTTAAAAAATGTCTAGAAATAATTGCCTTATTCATTCATCTTTCAATTAACTATCTAAATCAGCTAGTGAACTCCAGGCCATCATTTCACATCAAATATTCTAAAACAAAGTGCCGGGCATCTCTAATATACCACCACAGTTCCTCATTGAAGAGCCAGTATTGTTTTATTGAAAACACTTCAGATTCGACAGTCATCATACTTGGCATCACTGCTGGAAAAATGTACTAGCTGCAGGTCGAATGAATATTTGCTTCCTGAAAGATTATGGAGTCCAAGAATAACTAGTAGGTAATGCTCTATTTTAACAAATTTTTCTCAGTTTCTGTTTTTTTTTTTTGGTACCGGGGATCGAATTTGGAACCTTGTGCTTGCTAGGCAGGCGGCAGAACCACTGAGCTAAATCCCAGGCCCAATTTTTCTCACTTTCTAAATTTAAGACAATTTAACGGTCTGCTACCACATTTTTACTTATTCATACTGCTTCTTCCAGATTATATTTAATTATTATTTTCCTAGAACAATCTAGTGTTCTAAGGAAATATAAATAATACCAGCAGTATATATTGTACCAACTTGGGGAACAAGATAGACATTTTATTATAGCATATTATAAATTCTTTCCACTAGGCATTTTTTTCACTTAAAGACTACACAAGTAATCATTCCTTTGTAAACTAATCATATACTTACAAACATACACTGCTATCAGTCAAACTAATTGTATACTTAAAAACATAGACTGTTATCAGTGAAAAGAAATAAGTAGAATATTTCTATTATTTTATGTATACTATTTTAGTTTTCATCTTGCAAAGGCAGCCTAGTAAATTTAATGGTGGTTCAATAGTATTCTCTAAAAGAAAAACATGATTTTGTCAATACTTATTCATTTTGTGAGTATTAAGTGTAGACACAGTAAATCGC